AAGAAAAAATGAGAAGAAATCAAATTCCAGGACATTATTTGAAGGGATTAAACATCAAGATTGTTAAAAGTAAAAGGAAGGAATATAAAATTGGTTTATTTAATCAATGTTAAAATAGATATGTTGTTATCTCTGGTAACCCTTAATGGACTTTTGCTGACCAGGACTGAACTATAAGGCTTTAAGGATTTGTTTATAGGTAAGAAATGAGATATGGGAAGAAGAGATCATCCACTGTATTTTAAGAGAAGGTGATAAGTTACTGAAATTGTTTATACTTGTGATGACAGGGGAAGTCATCTCTTTATATATTTCTTTTCTTTTTCTTTACCATATTCTTATTTTTTTCTTTCTTTTCTATTTTTCTTTCTATTTTTTCTTTCTATTCTTTTATCCTTTTCAGTTTGGATTAGTTTTTATCCTTTTAATTATAACGTTTAATAAAATTATTGTTAAAAATTGCTTCTGGCTGTTTGTCAAAGAGAGCAGTTACTGAATTTGTAGTGCGCTTGATTTTGTTCACAAAATAAACATAACAAAATAAGACATCCTCAGAAACTTGAAGGAAACTGCCTGTGGAATACAAGTATGCCTAAATATGAGCACCTCCCTGTTTAAGGCTCAAGGAACTGGTAAAGGAGCAATTAACCATGTGATCCAAGCAGCAATTAATTGGAATCACCTCTGAACCTTCTCCCCATCCTTCCTCTTCTACCCCAATCAAGCACCACCTCCTTCTTCTCTTAAAACACCCACTCCAATTTTATTACTTACACCTCCTCCTTTTCAATCTTTACACAAACATTAATATGAGGGGATTCACTGGCACAAGCTGTGATGGTCACTGACTTAGCAAACACATGAAAAAGAGCCTCTGTTTTAGCCATTAAGCCTCTAAGAGCCAGATTCTGGATTACAAAAGACGGCTCTGAGAAACACCAGTATAGACCCTTGCTGGCTACAGCTGGAACAAAGACGCAAGGCAGTGGTTTGATCCCACAAGCCGAGTCTTAGAACCTTAGCTGTAAGAAAAGGGAGAGGAATCAGAAATCTGTAAAAGTTGACATCTAGAGGTTATTCATTATGTCCTCAAATTGTAAGACAACACAGTAGAGCTGGGAAGCAAACTTAAACAGCTAGAGCGTGTGTGCACCTTCAAGTCGGTGTTGACTCCTGGCAACTGACTAGACAAGTCCCTGTACTGGGGTTTTCTTGGCAACATTTTTCAGAAGTGGTTTGCCACTGCCTCCTTCCTAGGGCTGAGAGAGAGTGACTGGCCCAAGGTGCCCCAGCTGGCTTTGTGCCTAAGTCGGGACTAGAACTCATGGTCTCCCAGTTTCTAGCCTGGTGCCTTCACCACTGCACCAGACTGGCCCTCAAAAGCTAGAGTAGGCAGCATGTAAATGCTGGAAATGAACACATAATTAAAGAGTTTTCCATACTCAAAAACTAGTAACACCAAATCTCTCTTGTAAGAGATGGCAAGTGTAGAAGGGGACATGGCTGCCTTTGTGGGTGATGGGCTTTCCAGAAGCACCTGGGCAGCTCCTCTTGGAGAATGGGCTAGATCAGTGTTTCTCAACCTTGGCAACTTTAAGATGTGTGGACTTCAACTCCCAGAAGGCTGAAGCGTGGCTTGCTGGGGGTTTTGGGCGTTGAGGTCCACAC